CTAAAAAGAGACTTGGACAGGCTGGAAGTGTGGTTTCCGAAACTGGCTCCTAGAATTTAACCCCCCCAAAAATGCAAAGTCATGAAGATCGGAAAAGGGCAAAGAAGACCGCAGACAGAGTATAGGCTAGGTGTCCAAAGAGTGCAAACCTTACTCAAGGAGAAAGATCTCGGGGTGAGTATAATCCCGAAGTACGTCCCCAGAAGCACACATTAACCAAATGACTGCTGCGGCATATGGTCCCCTGGCATACCTGAGAATAGCGTTCCGGTACCTCAGTAAGGAATCATTCATGACGTTATACACTGTGTACGTCAGGGCCATACTGGGTACGCAGCACAGTTTGGAAACCCCAAACACCTGGTTCAAACACGTCAAGAAATTAGAGAAAGTGCAAAGGTTTTGCAGCAAGGCTGGTTCCAGAGCTCAGGGGAATATCTTTTCGAAGAGGGGTTTAAAGGGAAATCGGCCTGACGACACGGGGAGACTGATAACGACATACAAAATACTCCGTGGAATAGACAAGGTGAACAGAGATAAGATTTTCCCAGTGAAAAGGGATCAAAACTGGAATGAAGACTCAGATGAGTCACAAAGATGTTAGGAATATTTCTTCAGCCACAGAGTTCTTAGGAAAGCTGAATAGTCTGGCAAGCGATGTAGTGGAGGCGGGGAACCATACATAGTTTTAAGACGAGGTATGATAAAGCTCATGAAGCAGGGGAGAGCGGAAGGACCCAATTAGCGGCAGTGAAGAGGGAGGCCAGGAGCTGAGACTCGCCCCCTGCAACCACAATTAAATGAGTACAATTAGGTGAGTTTACACACACAAAAAAAAGACAACACAAAATCACGCGAACACATTTCACAAACACCCCCCACACACACACCACACACATATAATGATAAACAAAGCCTTGCGTGTCAGTGGAGACACGAAACCTCCCTCCACTAAAGCTGTGAGGGGTCAACACAAAGAATGGTTTAAGGCTCGAACCCGCGTTTTCTTCAGGGTAGGACAGGTGACTCACCAGGTGGTAAAGCTTTGTTGTTGGTGGTAGTGGTGGTGGTTTGGGAAATGGTAGTGGTGGTGGTGGTAGTAGTGGCAAATGGGTGGTGTACTTGTAGTGGTGGTGATAGTTGTAGTGGTGGTGGTAGTGGTAGTGCTGATGGTGGTGGTGGTGGTAGTGGCGCTGGTGATGGTGGTAGTCGTAGTGGTGGTGGTAGGGGTAGTGGTGATGGTAGTATTGATGGTGGGCAGGTGGTATGACAGTGGTGGTGGTGGGCAGGTGGTGTGGTGTGGTGGTGGTGGGGTAGGTGGTGTGGTAAATGGTGGTTGTGGGCAGGTGGTGTGGGTAGTGGTGGTGGTGCGTAGGTGGGGGTGGTAGTGGTGGTGGTGGGGGTGGTGTGGTTAATGGTGGTGGTGGGTAGGTGGTGTGGTAGTGGTGGTGGTGGGAGGGGGGTGTTGGTAGTGGGGTGGGTTGTAGGTGGTTTTGGGTAATGGTGGTGGTGGGCAGGTAGTGTGGGAGTGGTGGTGGTGGGAGGTGGTGTGGTTGTGGTGGTTGTGGGTAGGTGGTGTGGTAGTGGTGGTGTTGGGCAGGTGGTGTGGTAGTGGTGGTGGTGGGCAGGTGGTGTGGTAGTTTGGTGGTGGTGGGGTTGGTGGTGTGGTTATGGTGGTGGTGGGGGCAGGTGGTGTGGTGTGGTTGGTAGTGGGTAGGTGGGTGGTGGTGGTAGTGGTGGTGGTGGGGAGGTGGTTGGGTAGTGGTGGTGGTGGGTAGGTGTGTGGTAGTGGTGGGGGTGGGCAGGTGGTGTGGTAGTGGTGGTGATGGGCAGGGGGGGTATTTGGGAATGGTGGTGGTGGGTTAGGTGGTGTGGTAGTGGTGGTGGTAGGGAGGTGGTGTGGTAGTGGTGGTGGTGGGGCAGGTGGTGTGGTAGTGGTGGTGGTTGGTAGGTGGTGTGGTAATGGTGGTGGTGGGCAGGTAGTGTGGGTAGTGGTGGTGGTGGGCAGGTGGTGTTGGTAGTGGTGGTTGTGGGTAGGTGGTGTGGTAGTGGTGGTGTTGGGCAGGTGGTGTGGTAGTGGTGGTGGTGGGGAGGTGGTGTGGTAGTGGTGGTGGTGGGTAGGTGGTGTGGTAGTGGTGGGGGTGGGCAGGTGGTGTGGTAGTGGTGGTAGTGGGGTAGGTGGTGTGGTAGTGGTGGTGGTGGGCAGGGTGGTGTGGTAGTGGTGGTGGGGGGTAGGTGGTGTGGTAGTGGTGGTGGTGGGCAGGTGGTGTGGTAGTGGTGGTGATGGGAGGTGGTGTGGTAATGGTGGTGGTGGGTAGGTGGTGTGGTAGTGGTGGTGGTGGGTAGGTTTGGGGTTGGTAATTGGGTGGTGGTGGGCAGGTAGTGTGGTAGTTTGGGGGTGGTGGGCAGGTGGTGTGGTAGTGGTGGTTGTGGGTAGGTGGTGTGGTAGTGGTGGTGGGGGGTAGGTGGTGTGGTAGTGGTGGGTGGTGGGCAGGTGGTGTGGGGAGTGGTGGTGGTGGGTAGGTGGTGTGGTTTGTGGTGGTGGTGGGCAGGTGGTGTGGTAGTGGTGGTGGTGGGTAGGTGGTGTGGTAGTGGTGGTGGTGGGTAGGTGGTGGTGGGCAAGGTGGTGTGGGAGTGGTGGTGGTGGGAGGAGGTGTGATAGTGGTGGGGGGTGGGCGGTGGTGTGGTAGTGGTGGTGGTGGGCAGGTGGTTTTGGTAGTGGTGGTGGTGAGTAGGGGGGTGTGGTAGTGGTGGTGGTGGGGAAGGTGGTGTGGTAGTGGTGGTGGTGGGTAGGTGGTGTGGTAGTGGTGGTGGTGGGCAGGGGGGTGTGTAAGTGGTGGTGTGGGTAGGTGTGTTGGTAGTGGTGGTGGTGGGTAGGTGGTGTGGTAGTGGGTGGGGGTGGGCAGGTGGTGTGGTGTGGTGGTGGTGGGCAGGTGGTGTGGTTGTGGTGGTGGTGGGCAGGTGGTGTGGTAGTGGTGGTTTGTGGGTAGGTGGTGTGGTAGTGGTGGTGGTGGGTAGGTGGTGTGGTAGTGGTGGTGGTGGGCAGGTGGTGTGGTAGTGGTGGTGGTGGGTAGGTGGTGTGGTAGTGGTGGTGGTGGGCAGGTGGTGTGGTAGTGGTGGTGGTGGGCAGGTGGTGTGGTAGTGGTGGTGGGGGTAGGTGGTGTGGTAGTGGTGGTGGTGGGAAAGGGGGTGTGGTAGTGGTGGTGGTGGGTGGGTGGTGTGGTAGTGGTGGTGGTGGGCAGGTGGTGTGGTAGTGGTGGTGGTGGGCAGGTGGGGTGGTAGTGGTGGTGGTGGGTAGGTGGTGTGGGGAGTGGTGGTTTGGGGGGCAGGTGGTGTGGTAGTGGTGGTGGTGGGTAGGTGGTGTGGTAGTGGTGGTGGTGGGTAGGTGGTGTGGTAGTGGTGGTGGTGGGCAAGTGGTGTGGTAGTGGTGGTGGTGGGTAGGTGGTGTGGTAGTGGTGGTGGTGGGCAGGTGGTGTGGTAGTGGTGGTGGTGGGCAAGTGGTGTGGTAGTGGTGGTGGGTTGGGCAAGTTTGGTGTGGTAGTGGTGGTGGTGGGGAGGTGGTGTGGTAGTGGTGGTGGTGGGTGGGGGTGTGGTTTGTGGTGGTGGTGGGCAAGTGGTGTGGTAGTGGTGGTGGTGGGTAGGTGGTGTGGTAGTGGTGGTTGGTGGGAGGTGGTGTGGTAGTGGTGGGCAGGTGGTGTGGTAGTGGTGGTGGTGGGCAAGTGGTGTGGTAGTGGTGGTGTTGGGCAAGTGGTGTGGTAGTGGTGGTGGTGGGCAGGTGGTGTGGTAGTGGTGGTGGTGGGAAGTGGTGTGGTAGTGGTGGTGGTTGGGCAGGTGGTGTGGTGTGGTGGTGGTGGGCAGGTGGTGTGGTTGTGGGGTGGTGGGGGTGGTGTTGTAGTGGTGGTGGTGGGTAGGTGGTGTGGTATGGTGGTGGTGGCAGGTGGTGTGGTAGTGGTGGTGGTGGGGAGGTGGTGTGGTGTGGTGGGGTGGGCAAAATGGTGTGTGGGTGGTGGTGGGTAGGTGGTGTGGTAGTGGTGGTGGTGGGCAGGTGGGTGGTAGTGGTGGGCAGGTGGTGTGGTAGTGGGGTGGTGGGCAAGTGGTGTGGTAGTGGTGGTGTTGGGCAAGTGGTGTGGTAGTGGTGGTGGTGGGCAGGTGGTTGTGGTAGTGGTGGTGGTGGGAAGTGGTGTGGTAGTGGTGGTGGTGGGCAGGTGGTGTGGTAGTGGGGGTGGTGGGCAGTGGTGTGGTAGTGTGGTGGTGGGAGGTGGTGTGGTAGTGGTATTGGTGGGGAAATGGGGTGGTAGTGGTGGTGGTGGGCAAGTGGTGTGGGAAATGGTGTGTGGGTAGGTGGTGTGGTAGTGGTTTGGGGGTGGCAGGTGGTGTGGTAGTGGTGGGCAGGTGTGTGGTAGTGGTGGTTGGTGGGCAATTGGTGTGGTAGTGGTGGTGTTGGCCCAATGGTGTGGGAGTGGTGGTGGTGGGCAAGTGGTGTGGTAGTGGTGGTGGTGGCAGTGTGTGGTAGTGGTGGTGTCTGGGCAAAGGGGGTGTTGTAGTGGTGGTGGTGGGCAGGGTGGTGTGGTAGTGGTATTGGTGGCAATGGTGTGGTAGTGGTGGTGGTGGGCAGGTGGTGTGGTTAGTGGTGGTGGTGGGGAAGGGTGTTGGTAGTGGTGGTGGTGGGCAGGTGGTGTGGGAGTTGGGGGTGGTGGGCGGGTGGTGTGGTAGTGGTGGTGGTGGGCAGTGGTGTGGTGTGTGGTGGTGGGCAGGTGGTGTTGGTAGTGGGGGTGGTGGGAAAGGGGGTGTGGTAAGTGGTGGTTGGATTGGGGCGTGGTGTGGTTTGTGGTGGTGGTGGGCAAGGTGGTGTGGTGTGGGGGTGTTGGGCAGGGGGTTTTGGTAGTGGTGGTTTGGGGGGCAGGTGGTGTGGTTTTGGTGGTGGTGGTGGGCAAGGGTGGTGTGGTAGTGGTGTGGGTGGGTAGGTGGTTTTGGTGGTCAGGAGCTGACAGGTAACTCACCAGGTGATGGGCAGGTGGTGTGGTGGTCGGGTGACAGGTAACTCCAAAGGGGATGGGCAGGTGGTGTGGTTTGGTCAGGAGCTGACAGGGTTTAAATCACCGGGTTTACGGGAGGTGTGTGGTGTTGGTTGGTGTTTGAGAGGAAGGCTTGACAGTGGTCTCGTGGAGACAGGTGAATGAGTGCTTAGAGGCGAGGGAAAATTACAGCTGCTTCTGTCCGCCTCCTCACTCACCTGTCATAGTTATTATGATCTGTTAATTCATTCTTGGCTGTTTTGTACAGTTACTTGTCATTATTGACCACTTGTAAGTACAGATAACCTGTTCAAGACAGGTTTTCTGTTTAAGACAGACACTTGTCAAGACAATCACTGTCAAGACAAAACGTATTTATGATGGGGGTCTGTCAGGAATATCACTTGTAAGAAGGGTACTGTCAGGCAGATCATTGTCAAGCAGATTTGCTCCTTGGCAGATTTGTCAAGACAGATTACCTATCAGCAGTTTACCTGTCAATACAGATTTTCCTGGCAAGACACTAATGTTTAAGGACACATCACCTGTCGATACACTTTCCGTCAATACTGATCATCTGTCATTACGGATCTTTGCAATATCATCATCATTGCTACCGTCAATATTATCATCCTCACTGTCAATACAGTGAATGTCATTAAAGTCACTTGTCATTACAATCACCAGTCAGTAAGATCTTGTTATTTTCTCAACATAGTTCGTCAATTATAATCATCATACTGTATCAAAACAAAAGGATAATCACCGCAATAAAATTATCGCTGCAATAAAAGGTTTCCGATCAACTTGACCTAATTGGGCTACATAAAAGCAACGCCAATCTGGGTTTTATTGATTCCAATACACAAATAAAAATAATAATGTCAAGATGGACGTCGCGTTGCATGGGTCGTAGTGTTGGTGGTCGTAGCGTTGGTGAGTCGTAGTGTTGGTGGGTCGTAGAGTTGGTGAGGGCGTAGTGTTGGTGGGTCGTGAGTTGGTGGATGTGTGTTGGTGGGTCGTAGTGTTGGGTTTGGTCGTAGTGTGGTGGATCGTAGTGTTGGTGGGTCGTAGTTTGGTGGGTCGTAGTGTTGGTGGATCGTAGTGTTGGTGGATCGTAGTGTTGGTGGGTGTAGTGTTGGTGGGTCGTAGTGTTGGTGGGTCGTTTGTGTTGGTTGGGTCGTAGAGTTTGGTGGGTCGTAGTGTTGGTGGGTCGTAGTGTTGGTGAGTCGTGTGTTTGGGGGGTCGTTAGAGTTGGGGGTCGTTGTGTTGGTGGTCGTTAGTGTTGGTGGATCGTAGTGTTGGTGGGTTTGGAGTGTTGGTGGGTCGTTGTTGTGGATCTAGTGTTGGTGGGCGTAGTGTTGGGTGGGTCGTAGTGTGGTGGGTTTGTTTGTTGGGGGTCGTAGTGTTGGTGGGTGTTTAGGTTGGTGGACGTAGTGTTGTGGGTCGTAGCGTGGTGAGTGTAGTGTTGGGGGTGTTAGAGTTGGTGGGTTCGTAGTGTTGGTGGGTGTAGTGTTGGTGGATCGTAGTGTTGGTGGGGTCGTAGTGTTGGTTTGGGTCGTAGGTTTGGTTTGGATCATAGGTTGGTGGGTCGTAGTGTTGGTGGGTCGTAGTTTTTGGTGGGTCGTTGTTGGTGGGCGTAGCTGTTGGTGGTCGTAGTGTTGGGGGTCGTAGTGTTGGGGGTCGTAGTGTTGGTTGGATCATAGTGTATGTAGTCGTAGTGTAGGTGGTCTTTAGTGTTGGTGGATATGTGTACGTGAGTCGTAGTGTTGGTGGTCGTAGAGTTGTTGGTTTATAGTGTCGCGAGTCATGTGTTGGTGGGTCGTTTGTGAAGGTAAAATTTTATATTGTCGTGAGTCGTAGGGTTGGTGGGTCGTAATATGTGTTTGGGCGTGTGTTGGTGGATCATAAAACGTAACGTGAGTCGTAGTGTTGTGGGTCGTGGTTTACCCTGAGTCGCAGTGTTTGGGGCGTTTGGGTTTTCGTGAGTCGTAGTGTTGGTAGGTCGTAATTGGGGTGAGTCGTAGTGTTGTTGGATTATAGTGTAGTGAAATCGTAGTGTTTGGGAGGTCGTAGTTTACGTGAGTCGTAGTGTTGGTGGATCATGTGTTGGTGGGTCGTACTTCACGTGAGTCGTAGATGTTGGTGGATAAGAAGTGTAGTGAGTGTAGTGTTTGGGGGATGGTAATGTACGTGAGTGTAGTGTTGTGGACCTAGGTACGTGAGTCTAATTTTGGTGGATATTGTGTACGTGAGTCGTAGTGTTGGTGCGTGTATGTGGTGGGTCGTAGTGTTGGTGGTCTTTGTGTTTGGTGGATCATAGTGCATTGAGTCGTAGTGCTGGAAAATCATTAGTGTACGTGAGTCGTAGTGTTGGTGGATCTAGGGGTACATGAGTTTTAGTTGGTGGGTCGTAGTGTCTTGGGTCGTAGTGTTGGTGGATCATAGTTTTACGTGAGTGTAGTGTTGGTGGATCATATTTACGTGGCCCTAGTGTTGGTGGGGCGTAGTGTTGGTGGGTCGTAGTGTTAGGTGGATCATTTTGTGTACGTGAGTCGTAGCTTGTGGTCGTAGTGTACTAGTCTTAGTGTTGGTGGGTCGTAGTGTATTTTGAGTCGTAGTGTTGGGTGGAAAAATAGTGTAGTTTAGTCGTAAGCGCTTGGTGGGTTTGTAGTGTTGGTTTGGGTCATAGTGTAGTGAGTTTATAGTGTTGGTGTAGTGTCCGAGAGTCGTAGTGTAGGTGGAACAATATTATACTTGAGTCGTGTGTTCGTGGGGGGGGTAGTGTGCGAGAATGTAGTGTAGGTGGAACATAGTGTACGTGAGTCGTAGTGTTGGTAGGTGTTTGTGTGCGAGAGTCGTGTGTAGGTGGAACATAGTATTGTGAGTCGAGTGTTCGTGGGGTTTAAGTGTGGGAGATATAGTGTTCATGAGTCGTGTGTTGGTGGTCGTAGTGCTGGTGGGTGCGTAGTGTTTTTGGAGCATAGTGCAGTGAGTCGTAGTTTTGGTGGTTGTAGTGTTGCTGGATCACAGTGCACGTGAGTCGTATTTGTGTGGGGGTCGTAGTTTTGGTGGGTTAGGTTGCTGGGTCATAGGTACGTTTAAGTCGTGTGTAGGTGGGTGTAGGTGGTTTTCACACTTATGTGTGGAAGACACAAAAGATTAGTGTTAGTGTTAGTGATTAAATGGATACAGAGTGCACCTGCTTCCTTTCAGAACCAAAAAGAGAGATGGGTTTTCGGGGCCCACCGTTTTCGGGGAAATTTGTTACCTAGCAGTTTCTTAACTCCTTTTCGGTTGGGGTAAGAATGGTATATAATACGACAAGATGAAATTAAAGACACATGTGCAACATCTGGGTATCTTTATTGTAGAATTTCGCCATCCAGTGGCTTTATAATACAAATTCTAGGAATAATTGAAGACAGTAGAACTATGTACAGAAGATTTAGGTACAGTCCTCAACCTAGGAGTAGGTGCGAAGAGCACCATAGTCGTGGAGATTTTTGAAAGCAGAGAAGATCCTGGCGCTTTATAGTAACGTCAGGTGTAGCAGACGAGGGGCAAATTCACGGTAGGCGGGATTCCCCAGTGGGAAATAGGTCTTCCCAAAGGATGGGTTTGTTGTAGTAGTAGTTGTCGTAGTCGTGAAGTTATGTACATGGTTTATTACCAAGGTTATGTACATGGTATAATACCCTTCTTGCACAACTTGTAGAATGCAACATTCATGGATCTTGATTTCTGAGGACATGTACCCTAACCTTCACATCGACCAAACTACTTAAATACAACTAACCCATCTCTTTGGGAAGGGACCTACTTCACTGGGAATCCGCCTACCAGTGAAATTTGCCTCGTCTGCTTACTGACGTTCTTATAAGCCCCAGGATCTTTCTTCTGCTTCAGAATCTCCACGGATACGGTGCTGTTCGCACCTACTCCTAGGTTGAGGGACTGATTTTTTTCCTCATTTCTGTACATAGTTCTACTGCTTCATAGTTTTATGTCTAGAATTTGTTTTTGATTAAAACCAATGGATGGCGAAAGTTACAATAAAGATACCCAGATGTTGCAATTGTTTAATTCATCCTCCTCGGTTGTTCGCAGTGTGTCCCGCACTTACTGGTTTTACCCTATTGCCTCGGTTTGCTAGAAACATTTCTGTTTCATTGTAAATGCCTCCCTAAATCTTGTGCTGAGCTCTCTCTTAGTTCTTTTCAGGTCCCCTTCCTTCCATCCTTAACTGATTACCTGGTCCTTTATTGTTTTTTTCCTTTATGTGGTGTTATAGCAACTTTGGGTTAAAATTTGGCTTTTGATGCTACGTCGTTCTGTAACCCCTGAGTCTCTCTCCTAATACATGATTTTTTTTTCTAATCTTCGATTAACTCCTTGTTTTCTGAGTCCCTTTTCCTTCCATATTTTACCATATCAGCACATGTAGCACATGTGCACATGTAGCACATTGGGCTCTCTTTCCCACTGCACCTTGTGCAGGAATTTTGTTTACCCGATAGTCTCTCTTTTTTAAATTTAAATTTCCGTCGTCTTGTACTTCACGCTCCACTGTTAACCCCGTTAACCCCGAAACTCAGGCACGTGATCACTAGCCCCGAAGGTTCTTTCATGTGTAAAATTTTCCCATTTTTTTTGAACTGTTCAAAGGGGAATTAGGGTCCAGCCCGTGGGTTTGTCTTTCCTTCTTCTGTTGTGTCCCTAACATGAGGTTTTTCAGCCTGCCTCCCGCATCTTTTCTCTTCTGTCTCTGTCCCCATGTAGTCCATGTTTTGCCAGTCAATCTCTTTGTGGTGAAAATCCCCCCTGTGAATAATTTTGACAGCCCCTGTAGGCCCTTCTGGCCGCTTGGCTAGTGAGTCCACCATCGCTTATTGCTTTCCCCTACTCTTGTATTGGTTCCTGCTGTTTTTTGGGGGTTGCACTCACTTATCATCATTTTAGACCCTGGTTGTAGTGTTTTACTATGTAGGGCATCGCCCTCCTCTTGCCAGTCCCCCTATCTCAATTTTATTGGATTTTTTATGGCAGTGCAACTCCTCCTCCCGTTGTTTCCCCTTTTCTTTCCCAAAGGGTTGTATCCAGTCTGGAAAGTGCATTGTTATCACCCTTGGGGTTTTGTTTTATGAGTACATGATGTTATATTGGTGTTTCAATCCTTCATCTTCCCAGTATGCATTTGGGGGGTGGGAGGAGTTTGTGAGGCTGAGAGTGTGGAAGGTTAGAGGTGGATTTATGGGAAGCTGCGTGTTGGTTGTAATAGTATGGGGATGGGAAGGATGTGAAAAGGGGGTAGCTTGCTGTGATTTTTTTCTTTGGTTGGTGTGAGTGGAAAAGGGTTTAGAGGATTCTGTGGGTGGTTTTGTTTGTCGTGTTCCCCTTTAGGTGGCCCCACCTGTTAGAAGTATAAATAAAGAGTCCTCAGGGTTTTTCTTTAACACTATATATCCCCTTGGTTAGGCCCCATTTTTGGGTATGTGCTCAGTTTGGAAACCCTATTACAGAAAAGGATATAAATGCTCTGGAAAAGTAAGGGGGGAGGATGACAAAGATGATCCCATGTATCAGAAAACTTCCTAGAGGATAGATGAGGGCTCTGAATCTGCCTCTCTAGAAAGGCGTTGAATTAGAGGGTAAAATGTCGAGGTGATAAAAGGGGAAAAAAGGATAAATAAAAAGGATGTAAATAGGTGTGAAAATTTCCAGCCCAAAACAGGCTCCAGCAATGTTTCAAGTCGGAAAAATTCAGTTAGGAAGGATATAGGAAAGCAGGGTTTTGGGAATGAGATGGGATGAGTGGAACAAACTCCGAGACGTTATTCAGGTTAAAACGTTGTGTAGTTTTAAAAAAAAGGTTAGATAAATACATGAGTGGGTTGAGTTGGACCTGACTAGCTTGTGCGGGGTGGGTTGGTGCCGTACTCCTTCCTTGAGTGGAGGGACCCGACTGGGGGAGTAATTTGGGCTAATTGGGGGGGGGGTTATTGGGTAATTGAGGGGGTTGGGGCATTGGGCTAATCCAGGGGGGGGGACATGGACCTGCTCCACATGGATCAGTAGGCCTGTTGCAGTGTTCATTCTTTCTTATGTTCTTGTTCCCATTCGTTTTGTGTTCTGCTGTGGTTGAAATACACTCACTGGTATTTCTGCTAGCCTTTTAAAAATGCTTTCTGCTGCAGGGTGTTGTTTTATATCATTTCTGTCTTGAGTGTCAGATTTTACCAGGCATTTTTTTTCCCAGGTTTCTGCAAATTTGTCGCTGGATCATGTCCTCTCCTGTTATTGTGATGATGGTCTCAATCTCTTATACCTCCCCCCTATCTTCTTTTGTCATAGGTCGTCCCTTCATATTCATGAAGTCCATGAACGGTGGCCTGGTGGCATGGACTCTCACATGGTGAGAGTCCGAGTTCGATTCTCGGTGAGGGATGAAACATTGGGCGTATTTCTTTACACTGGTTGTCTATGTTCGCCCATCAGTAAAATGGATACCTGGTGCGGGTCACATCCTGGAACAAAATTTATTTAATTTGCCCGAAATGCTCCGCATAATAAGCAGCTTTTTATATAGCAATATGTCATTGATGTCAGCTAGGCCTATATACCTTGTGCATGTACTTGTAGAAATAAAAATTATTTAATTAATGTTTATTTATCACTCACATTACAGTCTTGTCACAGCACTAAGACCATCACTGTCCAGATTTTCATTATTATTTTAATATTTTATGAACACATTTGTGGCCTTTTGATATAAACTACTTTTGTAATTTGATTTTGGCAACAGTAAAATATCTGAGACTGATGGTTGATTTTTGTTTTCCTGCTGCCTCACTATATAACATTATCGTAGCATTAAATGTTTTGTTGTCGTTGTTTTGTCAGTGTTTTGTTGTCATTCCTTGTCCTGATATTAGATATTAATAGATATTATTATTAGGTTAGGTTAGGTAAGGTTTGTCAGGAAACAGGACAAGTGTTTCCTGACACGGATCTTAGATGATGACCCACAATTGGAGCTTTTGGTCATCTGACCGAGGCCTTCCACTGGCTTACCGGTCCACCCCTTTAAAAAAATAAGGGTCAATTATAACCAACATATAAATATATTATTATTATTATTATATTAATTATTAATAATAAGCGACCTCTCTCTTTCTTCTTCCTAGTTCTTTTCCTACATATCTCTGAATCTAATTTAAGCATCTTCTTAGTTGTTTCCCTTATCGTCTTTTACATGTCCCGGTGCCTTGACAGCAGTTCAGCGAGGGACTTCTTATCAGTTCAAGTCTTGCTGACCACGATATTTCTGTGTACAGAGCTCTCCTTGTATCTGCATAGTGCCACTTGAGCTGAACTGGCAAGTTTGGCCTATTCTGTAAAAACTTGCAATTGTGGGGCCCATGCTACTCTCCCTATATATATAGAAACATACCTAGTAAGTTGAATTTTATTGCAACCAGCTGGCCGAGTAGTTTACCCACTGGCCTTGAGTTTTACGACTTGTTCGCTATGGGTTCAAACATCGGCCGTAATTTATATAGAAGGGATTACTAGCCTCTTGCTCCCGCATTTTAGTAGTCTATACACAAATAACCCGCACATAAAAGAGAGAAGCTTACGACGACGTTTCGGTCCGACTTGGACCATTGACAAAGTCACACTAACCAGAGGTTAGAATTTTTTTCCACTTCCCCATTAAGAAAGCAGAAGAAAACTCAAACGGGCGTGTATACATATATGCATTCATGCATATGTAGTGTGAACAAAGTGTAAATAGAAGTAGCAAGATGTACTTGTTATCTTGGGGATTAAAATTCTAGCTTCAGACCATTTTGCAGGATTATTGCATGCCCGTGTGTAGATAAATATAGAGTTAGATTCTTGTGCTGTTTGGATCAACTATTGATGTTGTTCTAATGTAACATCAAGGGGTTTACCAGCCTGTCCAATATAAGATAAGCTACTGCCACTGCCCCCACTCTGTAAACACCACCTTAGCAGTTTTAAGGGGAATTCTGTAGCACCTTGTTTTTGAACCGTCCTTGAATTCTTGAAGACTACTTTTAGGGCACTCTGCCAAACACCCTAAAAAGTCAAGGATGATTAAAAGCATGATGATCAAGAATTTAAAAAAAAAAAAACTATTGATGGTGTTTAATGAGTGGGATTCATTGGCTCTAACTATCTTATAATGGACAGACTGGTAAACCCCTTGATGTTAGATTAGCACAACACCAATATTTCGATGCAGAGGGGTATTTACGATCTTTTTATTTTCTCCATGGAGCTATCCTCCCCACATCCCCTCCCTCCTTTTTTTAGAGAAAGGAAAAAGAAAACAATTAATTTATATAATGGACACACACACATCCATGAACTCTCTCCTTCTGGCTTCTTTCCTTCCTCAGCAGCATCCTCACACGACCCCGGCACATCAAGAGATGTTTCCCCAGACCTTTCCAAGAACCCAACAATGCCTTCAGGGTAACACCTCGTTGCCCGACTCTGGTACCGAGGTTCCAATTGATCCTTTCAATACGTCTGACCTTCACACGACCTTGATAAAGGTCGTGTAAAGGTCAGATAAAGATAAAGCTCTACATAGAGTGAAACATGAATTGATAAAGCCCTACACACAGCGATATATATCTTGATAAGACCTCATTAAGCTTGTGGTTGGTGACTCTCAGGTAAGATATATTGACCGTGCTTTTTGTAATAGGAATAAGAAGATGAGAGATAGAGTGTGCTTCCCTGGAGCTGGTGTTGGGGACATAGTCAACAGGCTGGATAATATCATGTCAGGTAATGGGAACAAGCCCATTATCTGTCTCAGTGCTGGTGGAAATGATATTGGGAAGGGTAGGAGAGAAGAGCTGCTAGATAAGTACAGGTCAGCTATAGATTTCATTAAGTCTAAGGGAGGGATCCCAATCATATGTAGCATCTTGCCTAGAAGGGGAGTAGGAAATGAATGGTTGTCTAGGGCAATTGGTGTAAATTGCTGGCTAGACAGATACTGCAAGGAACTTGCAATCCCATTCATTGACAACTGGAGCAACTTTTATGGCAAACATGATATGTATGCAAGGGATGGGGTACATCTCTCTGGGGCTGGGGTGGTAGCACTTGCAGACTCGACTGAGAAGGCCATTGGTGAAATGCCTATGATTTTAAACTGATGGAAGATAGAGGTATGGGTGTGTGTGGGAAACAAGCAGGTTGCAACACTAGGGTTCGAAACAGTAAATGTATAAAAGGCATTCAGCATGAAGTTATAAGTAAAAACAATAGATCAGGTCAGCAAACAAAGGGGGACAGCAGAGGGCAGCAAGGGACTAGCTCTCTTAAGGTTTACTATACTAATAGCAGGAGTGTAAGAAATAAAACAGATGAGCTAAGATTAATTGCAAGTGCAGGAAACATAGATATTATTGCTATAACAGAGACCTGGCTCAATCTGAAAGATAGAGAGATGCCCTCTGAATGTCACATACAAGGCTATAAATTATTCCACACTGACAGGGTCAACAGGAAAGGTGGTGGAGTAGCGATGTATGTCAGAGACAATTTAAATTGTTGTGTTAGACAAGATATAAAATTAGAAGCGTCAGCCACTGAATCTGTTTGATTACAGCTTCTCGAGGGCCAAGAAAAACTAATTTTGGGTGTGATTTACAGGGCCCCAAATCTTGATAGGGAGTGCAGTAAACTTCTATGGGACGAAATTCGTAAGGCATCTACAAACGAAAATGTTGTGCTAATGGGAGATTTCAACTATAGACAGATTGACTGGAGCAATTTGACAGGAAATTTAGAGTCAGGTGACTTTCTTGATACGATCCAGGATTGTTTTTTAAAACAGTTTGTGACAGAGCCAACTAGGGGAAATAACTCCTTGACTTGGTTCTTGCCAGTAGGGAAACTCGAATTAATAATCTTGAGGTTAATGATGAGCTTGGGGAAAGTGATCACAAATCACTCAGTTTTAATATATCATGGAATTTCCCTAATAATGGCAATCAAGTCTCTGTCCCTGACTTCCGCTTGGCTGATTTCATAGGACTGAAAAATTACTTAGGTGGGCTGAACTGGAATGACCTGACTAAGGGTCAGGTAGGTGGTGATGGATGCCGATATGACGCTTTCCAGGGCATAGTTCTAGCTGCTCAGTCAAATTATGTTCCAAATAGGGAAATCAGATCAAACAAAAATGATCCTAAATGGATGAACAATAGATTAAAATATCTAATTGGTCAAAAGAGAGGCATATATAGGCAAATCAAAAGAGAAGAGGGGCAGTTAAGAAATCGATATATTCAGTTAAAGAGAGAAATAAAAAAAGGAATTAGAAAAGCAAAAAGAGATTATGAGGTTAAAGTTGCAAGAGATTCGAAGACTAACCCAAAAGGATTCTTTCAGGTATACAGAAGTAAGATCAGGGACAAGATAGGCCCACTCAAAAGTTCCTCGGGTCAGCTCACTGACAGTGATAAGGAAATGTGTAGAAGTTTTAACACATACTTCCTCTCAGTTTTTACACAGGAGGATACCAGCGATATTCCAGAAATGATAAATTATGTGGAACAGGACGATAATAAACTGTGCACGATTAGGGTCACAAGTGACATGGTCCTTAGGCAAATAGATAAATTAAAACCTAACAAATCCCCAGGCCCTGATGAACTGTATGCAAGGATTCTAAAGGAATGTAAAGAGCAGCTTAGCAAACCTTTGGCTAATCTTTTCAACATATCACTACAAACTGGCATGGTGCCAGATAAGTGGAAAATGGCAAATGTGATACCTATTTTCAAAGCAGGTGACAGGTCCTTAGCTTCAAACTATAGACCAATAAGCCTAACCTCCATAGTGGGAAAATTTATGGAATCAATAATTGCCGAGGCAGTTCGTAGCCACCTTGAAAAGCTTAAATTAATCAACGAATCTCAGCATGGTTTTGCAAAGGGGCGTTCCTGCCTTACGAATTTGTTAACTTTTTTCACTAAGGTATTTGAGGAGGTAGATCATGGTAATGAATATGATATTGTGTACATGGACTTCAGTAAGGCTTTTGACAGGGTCCCACATCAGAGACTATGGAGGAAAATTAAGGCACATGGAATAGGAGGAGAAATTTTTTCCTGGATAGAGGCATGGTTGACAAATAGGCAGCAGAGAGTTTGCATAAATGGGGAGAAATCAGAGTGGGGAAGCGTCACGAGCGGTGTTCCACAGGGGTCAGTGTTGGGCCCCCTGCTGTTCACAATATACATAAACGACATAGATGAGGGCATAAAGAGCGACATCAGCAAGTTTGCCGATGACACCAAAATAGGCCGTCGAATTCATTCTGACGAGGACATTAGAGCACTCCAGGAAGATTTGAGTAGACTGATGCAGTGGTCGGAGAGGTGGCAGATGCAGTTTAATATAGACAAAGGCAAAGTTCTAAATGTTGGACAGGACAATAACCATGTCACATATAAACTAAATAATGTAGATCTTAATATTACGGATTGCGAAAAAGATTTAGGAGTTCTGGTTAGCAGTAATCTGAAACCAAGACAACAGTGCATAAGTGTTCGCAATAAAGCTAATAGAATCCTTGGCTTAATATCAAGAAGCATAAATAATAGGAGTCCTCAGGTTGTTCTTCAACTCTATACATCCTTGGTTAGGCCTCATTTAGATTATGCTGCACAGTTTTGGTCACCGTATTATAGAATGGATATAAATGCTCTGGAAAATGTACAAAGGAGGATGACAAAGTTGATCCCATGTATCAGAAACCTTCCCTATGAGGATAGACTAAGGGCCCTAAATCTGCACTCTCTCGAAAGACGTAGAATTAGGGGGGATATGATTGAGGTGTATAAATGGAAGACAGGAATAAATAAAGGGGATGTAAATAGTGTGCTGAAAATATCTAGCCTAGACAGGACTCGCAGCAATGGTTTTAAGTTAGAAAAATTCAGATTCAGGAAGGATATAGGAAAGTACTTGGTAATAGAATTGTGGATGAGTGGAACAAACTCCCAAGTACAGTTATAGAGGCCAGAACGTTGTGTAGCTTTAAAAATAGGTTGGATAAATACATGAGTGGGTGTGGGTGGGTGTGAGTTGGACCTGATAGCTTGTGCTACCAGGTCAGTTGCCGTGTTCCTCCCTTAAGTCAAGGTGACCTGACCTGACTAGGTTGGGTGCATTGGCTTAAGCCGGTAGGAGACTTGGACCTGCCTCGCATGGGCCAGTAGGCCTGCTGCAGTGTTCCTTCGTTCTTATGTTCTTATGTTCTTAAGACAAAAGAGAAACATGACCTGACCTGACGTGACTTGAGGAAGCTCAACGCAGAAAAATAATTCGAGAAACCTTCATAAGTGAAACTTGGCCTGATAAAGTTCTATACCAAGAAACATGACTTGGTAAAGCTCTACAAAGCAAGAAACATGACTTGATAAAGTCTACAGAAGCAAATATGACGGATAATCTTCGCAGAGAAACATGACTTGTTAAAGCTCTACACGTATCATTGATAAAGTCTCAGACATAGACTTGATAAAGCCTCAAATATGACTTGATAAAGCTCTATACAGAGTAATGACTTGATAAAGCTCTACATTGGGTCATGACTTGATCAAGTTTAACACAGGGTCATAACCTGATAAAGCTCTACAGAGCCATGACTTGATAAAGCTCTACGGAGTCATGTCTTCATGAAGCTCTACACAAAGTCATGACTTGATAAAGCTCTACAGGGCCATGACTTGACAAAGCTCTACGGAGTCATGTCTTCATGAAGCTCTACACAAAGTCATGACTTGATAAAGCTCTACAGGGCCATGACTTGACAAAGCTCTACGGAGTCATGTCTTCATGAAGCTCTACACAAAGTCATGACTTGATAAAGCTTTTACAGGGCCATGACTTGACAAAGCTCTACGGAGTCATGTCTTCATGAAGCTCTACACAAAGTCATGACTTGATAAAGCTCTACAGGGCCATGACTTGACAAAGCTCTACGGAGTCATGTCTTCATGAAGCTCTACACACAGTCATGACTTAATAAAGCGCTACACAGAGTCATGACTTAATAAAGCTCTACACTGAGTAATGATAAAGCTCTACACAGAGTCATGACTTGGGTGAAGCTTCACACGGTGAAGCTTCACACGGTGAAGCTTCACACGGAGAAGCTTCACACGGTGAAGCTTCACACGGAGAGCTTCACACGGTGAAGCTTCACACGGTGAAGCTTCACACGGTGAAGCTTCACACGGAGAAGCTTCACACGGTGAAGCTTCACACGGAGAAGCTTCACACGGTGAAGCTTCACACGGTGAAGCTTCACACGGTGAAGCTTCACAGGTGAAGTTCACACGGAGAAGCTTCACACGGTGAAGCTTCACACGGTGAAGCTTCACACGGTGAAGCTTCACACGGTGAAGCTTCACACGGTGAAGCTTCACACGGAGAAGCTTCACACGGTGAAGCTTCACACGGTGAAGCTTCACACGGTGAAGCTGCTCCAAATAAAACTCATGCACTGCTGTAACATGTCAGCTACTTACCTACTTGTACTAGTACTCAGCTACTAGTACTCAGCTACTACTAGTACTCAGCTACTACTAGGACTCAGCTACTACTAGTACTCAGCTACTACTAGTACCCAGCTACTGCTAGTATTCAGCTACTACTAGGACTCAGCTACTAGTACTCAGCTACTACTAGTACTCAGCTACTGCTAGTACTCAGTGTGATGCAGTCCAGCTGGGCTTGTGAGGTCTCTGGGGAGACCTAATTTAACCAATTATATGGTCACACTTTGCCAAGGCAAGGTGTGACCATATAATTGGTTAAATTAGGTCTCCCCAGAGACCTCACAAGCCCAACTGGACTGCATCACATCAGCTACTACTAGGACTCAGCTACTACTAGGACTCAGCTACTACTAGTACTCAGCTACTACTAGTACTCAGCTACTACTAGGACTCAGCTACTACTAGGACTCAGCTACTACTAGTACTCAGCTACTACTAGTACTCAGCTACTACTAGCACTCAGCTACTACTAGCACTCAGCTACTACTAGCACTCAGCTACTACTAACACTCAGATACTACTAGCACTCAGCTACTACTAGCACTCACCTCAACATTGTCAATCACACGTAGGCCCCAGTGTGTCAGCCTGAAGATAGCATACAGCCTCCAGTATGGTGTCTGTGTCAAGGGATTACCTTCTCTACCGACTTCTAAGGACGTCACCTGTTTGGTAAGCAGAAAAATATATTTGACTTGAAAAAAAGGCTTACAGTTCCGTAACAGAACCTTCGTCAGAAGTTAATAACTATGTATACAATTTTTATTTAGTACGAGGAGGATCCCTTGACGCTGGTGAATGGACCTTATTAAACGATGGAACTGGAGCCATGCTCTTCTTTCTTGGATCAAACCTGATTACCTCACATTCAAAAGGAACCACGTAACCCCCTACAGTTAAAGGGTTTCCTTATGAATCTTTTAATAATAATAATAATAATAATAATAATAATAATAATAATAATATTATTATTATTATTATTATTATTATTATTATTATTATTATTATTATTATTATTGTTATATAATTACCTGGTGAAGTTCAGCCAGAGCATTAAGCTGGCTGCATTTAGTAAGGTGTGTCTCCACGAACACGAAGTTCTCCAATCGTGGGAACTTGACGCGCAATTTAGGGAATATGTCAACGATATCCTCGAAGTTCATGTATTGGAAACGTGCTGTAGTGGCCCCAGAAGCCATTGTCTTGTCCCAGGGAATGTCTGTACAGCGGAGTGCTCCCTGGCCATAAAGGTTGAGTCGCTCACCTTCTAGTTCTGCTAAGAAGTTGGGTCCTTGTTCTCGTAGAATTCCAGTTGGATTTGGGTTCGCAGCAGGGAGGGTTTTTTCTTTTTCACATGTGGGTTTTTCCAGGTCTTTTGATCTGGAGAGTGGGATCCTGAGGTCGGCCAGGTTGTGATGGGGGCGATTACTTGGCTGGGAGGTGGGTTCGAACGGAGCTGGTGGGAGTAGCAGCGGTGTTCGTGGTGGTGGCAGTAGTTGCAGACTCCGCATCCGAACTCGAGTCGATCTCCGATGGCTCGGAGACCGCATTTCTGGGAGAGACTGGGGTCTCTGGGCTCTGTATGGGAAGACTTAGATTAGACCTGACTCGTGTAATGGCTGCGGTCACTATCTTATCAGGGAGATGACCAGCGCCCTTCAGCGACTCGGATTTCTTGAGCAAATCGGAATTTTTTGAGTTCGCGTGTTTTAAAACCTCATTCGCCATAATTCGAGGTCGTGATTTCTCCGTACCTCGATTTTGAGCACTGCCGAGTCTTGTAACAACACGGCGGACTACAGGAACATTTTTCACAGCTACAGTAGCCTTTGTAGCTGCATCTATACTAATTTTCTCACTGGCCTTTCCTACCCCTCCCAAAACATCACTATTAACTGCTCGAACTGACTTCGATCTCGATGGACCATCACCCTCAAAGGAATTTTTCCTCCTCAAAACCCTCATATCAGTATAAGATTTACTTCGCGATAGATTAATTTTATTCTCCGTCCTGGGACTGTTCAGTTTGAACTGTTTAATTGCTTGTATCGAATTATTTAAAGCATTTACAGTCACATTCTCTCGCGAGGAATTTACAGCTGAAGTACTCAATCTCCGTTCAGTGCCCTTGTGAACTAAACTAATATCTGAGATACCGCTGAAGTCACGGAGATTATAGATGTTCTATCATCCTCTTGTGCTTCATCTTTCTTATCTTCTCCTATCTCTTCTTCACCTTTATCGCTAGTAGCAGCTACTTCTAATTTCTCCTCTTCTACCTCTCCTGTAGTATTGGACACAGTGTCTTCACAACAGCTATTGGAGATCTCCATGTTATCACTGCCCTTAGAGGGAGGTGGGTCGCTAGTACCTGTGAGGAAATGTAGATATTAGTACATAACTACTGCTGCCTCTGGTGGTACATGAAACAGATGTAGAAATTAATACCCAAGTACAGGTACCTCAAGGAGAGTCAGGAATTAGTGCCTAACTAATGGGAGCATAGAGATCTGATACCTAATGAATGGTAATTAACAGCATAGACCGCAGCATATATGGATATCCATATCTATCAATCAATCTATCTGCATATATACACATTAACTCACATATATAATGACGTGAAATACATACATACATACATGCATATACCCGTTTAACACAGTGTATGTTTCAACAGGCTTTCAGCTGAGTTTCATGTGTATATACAACGATCGATATACATTCTAGGTATATATACACAACATAGGTGTTAAACATACAGATACACAGATATACTCACTTGTGGAGGCATCACTAGCTTTCCTGATGAGTTTCTTGTGATCTTTTTTCACCACTAACCAGTGTTTCATGGCATTTGTGATGGCTGAATTCCGCTTCTCTTCATCACTTATGCGTGTGGCCTGGGCTTTCTCCTTCTCCCGGGCCTTCTGCAGGTGCTTCTCCGACTGCCTGCGGGTTTCCATCGTCAGTTCCTGGTCGTCTAACCTGGGTATGAGACAGATTATATTAAAAATTTTATATGCTGGCCACAGACCTTCAGCAGAATAATTGAAGCTAAAAAACTTAATGGTAGCCAGACGGCGCCTGAGGAAAGGGTTAGGTTAAAATTTATATGAGAGCCTTACATTGCCTGGGGAATCTATTTTAAAATACTGTGTGAGTGCCCGTCAGTGCTTATGAAATGGAAATTTGTGGATAGGGCTTTTTGTCTTAGAGATAGGAAGAGGAGGTAGAGGTAAGACACATATGCAACAGTTAGGTATCTTTATTATGAAACGTTTCGCCTACACAGTAGGCTTCTTCAGTCGAGTACAGAAAAGTTGATAGAAGCAGAAGATACTTGAAGACGATGTAATCAGTCCATCACCCTTAAAGTTTTGAGGTGGTCAGTCCCTCAGTCTGGAGAAGAGCATTGTTCCATAGTATGAAACAATATGGAGATGAAGTGACAGGATGGAGCCTTATATATTGGCAATATATAAGGCTCCATCCTGTCACTTCATCTCCATATTGTTTCATACTATGGAACAATGCTCTTCTCCAGACTGAGGGACTGACCACCTCAAAACTTTAAGGGTGATGGACTGATTACATCGTCTTCAAGTATCTTCTGCTTCTATCAACTTTTCTGTACTCGACTGAAGAAGCCTACTGTGTAGGCGAAACGTTTCATAATAAAGATACCTAACTGTTGCATATGTGTCTTACCTAACAACCTGTCGGTATTTTATACCATTTTAATGTTCAAGAGGAGGTAGAGGGTGTGTTTTCCTAGGGCTGGGATGGAGGATATTGTTAGCCATCTGGACGACAGTAACATTCATAGACAACTGGGACCTCTTCTATGGCAGAAATGACATGTATGCCAGGGATGGCGTGGGGGCACTGGCCAATGCAGTGGGGGTAGCTGTTAGGGCTTTAAACTATAAATAGTTAGTGGTATGGATCTTCGTTGGAAAACAATAAATTCTCCATGTAGCAATAGTGTGAGCTTTAGGGAAACCAGTTATAGGCAGTATGAGGTAGAGTTATTGGTGAATATTGGAAAAGCCAGTGGCACTAGGTGATAAGGACAATAATAGGGATAGTGGAGGAACAAAAATGAGCAGGGAAGGAAAAGAAAGGGGAGAGTTTCTAAATTTATATTATACAAATAGCTGTATGCTAGATATAAGATGGACGAGTTGAGATTAGTTGCAAGTGCTGGTAACACTGATGTTCTTGCCATAACTAAGACGTGGTTTAATATAAAAACGGAACATGGCTGCTCAATGTCACATTCAGGGTTTTAAATTGTTCCACACAGACATAAGTATTGGAAAGGGGGGTGGGGTGGCACTGTATGTCTGAGATTGCTTGAACTGCTGCATGAAAACGGGTATAAATTTTAAAATAACAGATACAGAGTCTGTCTGGGTAGAATTTTCTGAGGGGCACGAAAAACTGATTTCAGGCGTGATATACCGTCCCCCAAACTTGGATAGGGATCACGGCAGACTACCTGGGGCGGGAATTGTTAGGGCCGCAAGGCACGATAACCTAGTAATTCTAGGGGACTTTAACGAATTGATTGGAATTCATTGACTGGAAATTTAGAGTCTAACGACTTCTTAGAGGTACTTCAGGACTGTCTTTTAAAACAGTTTGTTACAGAACCTACAAGGGGATAATAACCTGCTTGGCTTATTTCTGGAAAACATTGAAACCCTTGTTAATACTTAAGAAATTACAGAGGAACTTGGTGAAAGCGACCACAAATCAGTTACCTCTAGCACTGAATGGAAGTATGATAGTAGGAATAACTCAGTAACAGTCCTAGATTTTCACTTAGAAGATTATAATGGGCTTAGAGAGCACATATCGTCTGTGGACAGGGGTAACGAAGAGAGCTGACAGTATGACAGCTTCCTAAACAATAAAGAAATAAGATAGAATAGAAATGATCCGAAATGGATGAATAATAGGCTCAAAAATCTTTTAGGGCAAAAGGAAGGGATTTATAGGCTCATCAAAAGAGGTTAAGGTCGTAGGGGATAAGAAAAGCTAAATGGGACTGAAATTAAAGTTGCTAGGGAAGGGATATCTCTTCAAACAAATGTAATTCCTATCATTAGAGTAGGGGACAAGTCGCTACCATCAAATTACCGCCCAATAAGCCTGACCTCAACTGTAGGCAAATTACTTGATTCAATTATAGATGATATTATAAGATGCCATTTTGATAAGCATAATTTGATTACTGATACTTAGCATGGATTCACGAGGGGTAATTCCTGCCTAACTAATTTACTAGCTTTCTTCTGTAAAGTTTTTTCGGCTGATGATCAGGATAAAGGTTTTAGTAAGAGTACCACACCAGAGACTGTTAATGAAAGTGGCAGCTCATAGCATTTTGGGGGAAAAGTTCTGTCATGGATCCAGTCATGGCTCACCAACAGGAAGCAGAGAGTGTGCATTAATGAGGCAAAATTTGAGTTGGGATCTGTATAAAGTGGCGTTGTTACGAACACACATAGTAAATGCCTTGTGAGACCTGGTAGTAATGGGAATTGGAGCAAACAAATTCAGCAGTAGAATATAATGTATATTTTGCCTTCACCCACTATATACAGGTATGTACAATACGCACAGACAGAACAATAGGTGTACACCACGGTGACAGATGGCAAAGCAGAAGCCAGAGATAGTGCACCGTAATCAACCAATAAGTAGGCAAGTCTGCCAATGGTTACCGCAAGTGAACCATGTTGCTTCAGCTTTGGCGGGCTTGCCTGTGATTGGTCAATGAACCAAAGTGCTGATTTAACAACGGGTATCCTACCAAGCGTTAAAAACCATAGCAGCCGGTTCCCTGGTTGGGAGGCAGCCTGTATGGGAAAGTGACATGCCGAATAATTTGTAACATACTCTTTGCATGTCACATACTCAAAAAAGTTGATTGTGCTAGCATCCATCATTGATAACATATTGGAGTCAGTGGCCTGTTTCAGATCTGTCAGGAGGTTACCCACTGTTGTATGTAGTCATGCAAATGGTCCAGTCAGTCATTGCACGATGCAGTCAGCCTGAGGTGGTTTGGCTGGGATGACAGTCTAGTGATGATGAAGATTTGGTGAAGGCAATCGTTGAAGCTTGTGTTTTTAATAGCCCTTCTGTTACCACCTCTAACAGTGTAACCCGGACAACAGGAAGTCAGCTGGTGCTCCCTCAAAGTGGAGATGAAGCAACCACTCCTGTTTCTGATATTCTGTCTCTTTGTGACTTGCCTACCTGCTGGTTGAGTACGGTGTTGGTTAAGTACATATTACGAACACAGGTAATGAATGACCTGTGAGACCTGGTCGTAATGGGAATTGGAGCAAATAAACTCAGCAGTAAACTATACTGTATATTTTGTCTTCACCCACTATATGCAGTGTGCACTAATTTTGCTAGAATTACCAACAATATGTTAGGTAAAAGGACACAAGTGCAACTAATGTGACATTTTACAGTGGCAACGTTTCGCTCTCCAGGAGCTTTATATTATAACGGCTTGATAAAGCGTAACGGTTATACAATATGAACAGAGAGAATGATAAGTGTACACGACGGTGACAGATGGCAAGATAGTAGGCAGAGAGAGTGCGCCATGCTCAACCAGCAGGTTGGCATGTCATGGTCACTGCGCCATGCTCAGCCAGCAGGTTGGCATGTCATGGTCACTGCGCCATGCTCAACCAGCAGGTTGGCATGTCATGGTCACTGCGCCATGCTCAACCAGCAGGTTGGCATGTCATGGTCACTGCGCCATGCTCAACCAGCAGGTTGGCATGTCTTGATCACTGCGCCATGCTCAACCAGAAGGCTGGCATGTCATGGTCACTGCGCCATGCTCAACCAGCAGGTTGGCATGTCATGGTCACTGGCGCCATGCTCAACCAGAAGGTTGGCATGTCATGATCACTGCGCGCCATGCTCAACCAGCAGGTTGGCATGTCATGGTCACTGTGCCATGCTCAACCAGCAGGTTGGCATGTCATGGTCACTGCGCCATGCTCAACCAGCAGGTTGGCATGTCATGGTCACTGCGCCATGCTCAACCAGCAGGTTGGCATGTCATGGTCACTGCGCCATGCTCAACCAGCAGGTTGGCATGTCATGGTCACTGCGCCATGCTCAACCAGCAGGTTGGCATGTCATGGTCACTGCGCCATGCTCAACCAGCAGGTTGGCATGTCATGGTCACTGCGCCATGCTCAACCAGCAGGTTGGCATGTCATGGTCACTGCGCCATGCTCAACCAGCAGGTTGGCATGTCATGGTCACTGCACCATGCTCAACCAGCAGGTTGGCATGTCATGGTCACTGCGCCATGCTCAACCAGCAGGTTGGCATGTCATGGTCACTGCGCCATGCTCAACCAGCAGGTTGGCATGTCATGGTCACTGCGCCTTGCTCAACCAGCAGGTTGGCATGTCATGGTCACTGCGCCATGCTCAACCAGCAGGTTGGCATGTCATGGTCACTGCGCCTTGCTCAACCAGCAGGTTGGCATGTCATGGTCACTGCGCCATGCTCAAACCAGCAGGTTGGCATGTCATGGTCACTGCGCCATGCTCAACCAGCAGGTTGGCATGTCATGGTCACTGCGCCATGCTCAACCAGCAGGTTGGCATGTCATGGTCACTGTGCCATGCTCAACCAGCAGGTTGGCATGTCATGGTCACTGCAGGCATCTGTATACTACAACTGTATTGTAACTGAAACTGACCTGCAACCGTACCCACTCCAGCTCTCAGACTTCCCACTCCAGCTCCTGGACCTCCCACTCCAGCTCCCGGACCTTCCACTTCAGCTCCCTGACCTCCCACTCCAGCTCTCAGACTTCCCACTCCAGCTCCTGGACCTCCCACTCAAGCTCCCTGACCTTCCGCTTCAGCTCCCTGACCTCCCACTCCAGCTCCCGGACAGAGCTCCTGTATTACGACGGAACCTAAGCGGAG